CAGGAGGAGGTGCCAGATCTTCACTCTCATGAGTGTACCCAGGGGCCCCAAGGCAGTGCTTGGGCTCCAGTCAGACTGGGGAGGCTTAGAACACATGGAATCCAGTGGTGGTATACAATGGGAACTTACATCAGCATAGCTACGCCTGTCAGGGGTGAGACGGTCAACGTCCTGGTGACTGCCAAGGCATCCTCCAGCAACACCTCTTGACCACAGAGCCCCCCTGACTATGGCACTCTGGGAGGTCGCCCACAGCACTCACCTTTAAGGCTGGCCCTGCCAGGCTTAGCCTTAGGGAAAATGGCACCCTGGCACCGCCACTGCCTCATCCGGCACCCCTCCCCATTACCCCTAGCCCCGCCATTGCCTTCCCCAGCCCCTCCCCATCACCCTTGGCAAATTACCTCCACTCATGGGTAGTGTCTACACCAGGGATCAGCAACCTTTGGCACGCCAAAGCACGTAAGCACCCTGGCGGGCCGGGCCGGTTTACCTGCCACGTCTGCAGGTTCGGCCAAATGCGGCTCCCACTGGCCGCAGTTCGCTGCTCCAGGCCAATGGGGGCTGTGGGAAGCAACGGCCAGCCCATCCCTCGGCCCACGCCGCTTTCCGCCGCCCCCATTGGCCTGGAGCAGTGAACCACGGCCAGTGGGAGCCGCGATCGGCCGAACCTGCGGACGTGGCAGGTAAACAAACCAGCCCGGCCCGCCAGGGTGCTTACCCTGGTGAGCCGCATGCCAAAGGTTGCCGATCCCTGGTCTACACTGAAGTGTTACAGTGGTGCCGCTGTAGAGGTTTAAGTGTAGACAAAAGTCCAAACCTCTGGAACAATGGAGGTCTGCAATTAGGTTTTACATTCAATTACAGTAGATACAGAAAATATTTCACTGGTGCACTATGAAGTTCCACATCTCTACAGTGCCACAAGCAGTAGCTTAATTGGAAAAGATTATATATTTTACTAAACATGCAAACTAACAAGTTTTAAAGCACTTCTTCCAAAAATGCATTGGATGGTCTATTCCTGAGGACTAGCCACTTGTGAATGGATCTCTAACAAGGGCAAGTGGAGCCATTTCAGTGATCGGCTCCCCAAAGAAAGTCTTTGGATTTTGCCAAATCCAGAAAAATGCATTCCTCTCTTACATGCTCCCCTAACTCAAAAAGAGAGGAATGTGCTTGGCTCCAACTTTGGGGGAGGAGGGACAACTATTAACCAGGACAGTTTGGAGGCAGGGGGCAGAAGAGTCATGCCTAAAACCATTCTGGGAGACAGGCGTGAGGTTAAAGCATGAGAGGAGTCGAAGCCGTTTGCTGCAACAGGGAGCTGGCCCCAAATCTCATCCCCTCAGAGCATTCAGGGATGGGGGAAGGGAAACATCCTGTGCCCAGATTATCGGACCGTCCGGATGTTCGGGGCTTTGTTTTATATATGCAACAACAATACCACACACACACTAGGGTTACCATTCGTCC